CAAACAGAACTGTTGGCTTAATGAGACACCACTTGTGCATCTGCATAACCAACAATGGGTATAATGGGAATCTTCAACTTTTTTCAAAAAAAGTAATTCTCTTAACTCTAGTTTTGAAAAAGTAAAGCCCCTGGAAATACAGATACAAGGAAAATATGTATGAACACACACACACACACACACACACACACACACACACACACATACACAATCACCCATTAAATAATTGAAAAATTATTTATCCAGTTCTTTTCTTATATCTCCACATGAACTTTTCTTCTTCTAAAAGACTACAAATGGAAGAGAAAAGCATAGTAGAGTAAGATGATTAAACCTGCTTTATGGCTATTGGCTTAAATGTTAGGATACATCTTTAAAGTCTGCAAATGAATGCCTGCTTTTTACTTAAAGGCGTGCTGATCAGAACATCTTACCAAAATGTGGAGACAACACTGCATGTGCGCTGGTGTGCTTGCCCGTCCTCATTATAACATGGCCTGGGGCTCACAACTAAACATTTTTTCTGGAACATAATGAGCTGTGTACTGTAATGAAGGTGTTTGAAATTGATTTGACTATTGTTTAGTACAAAAAGTCTCCGATCAAAGACTCTGGCAAGCCTGCGGACAGTTGGGCATTCGCAGACAAGGCCGTGGTGTGGTGCTTTAGTGAGGGGCAAGTAGAGAGGTGTGGTGCCTTCTGCCAGCCCGGGAATCTACCGAGCCATTATCTGATGCTTTGTTTTGTAAGTTGCTGAGCATCAGTTATAAATGGCCATCTGGTGCTAGACGATTCTCAGGATTATTTTGAAGAATCTTATAAACTTGATTTTGATAACCCTATCCCTTCTTAGTATTTTTACATTACTCTTTCATAGCAGTCATGGACATTCTCCCAAGTTCATTTATAAAATGAATTGTACTGAATGCCATTTAATCTTATTGCCATAGTTACAAACCAAGAAATCGAAGACTGCTAGGCAGAGCTGAAAATAGCTGACTTGGTACCAGCAAGAGGACTAATTCGTATGCAAAGCTCTACACTCACATGAGATCTCTGATTCAAAGAACAATGGAAAGTTTGATCCTTGCGACACAACCTTCTGTTGCCTTCTCACTCTCTGGCACCAGAGACACAGGTCTGGATGAAAACTGTAAAGAGCTAAAGACCAGGTTCTGCATTGCAACCTGCTGTTTTAGCTTCTCTGTTATTATTGCAGTGAGTTCAGTCTTGACATTTTCACAGGCAGTTCTGGGGATTTGATAGCCACTTGCAAATTACAAAGAAACCATGTAGTATTTGAAACTTAGCAAGGTTCAAATCGTCTCTGGGCATTATTACTCACAGCTGACACATACTTTATCTAAATTCTATTACCATGAAGCAGAGCTATAACAT